AACAATGAATCATGGAACACTTCATCTAGAACTAGTGATGTAATGTATGGGGATTAACATAAGAATAAAAAAAAAAATTTTAGTTTTAGGAAAAATTGGTTTGATTTCCAGCTTTATTACTATTAGGTATTTCAGTTTGGGTAAATCGCTTAATCTTTGAGTCTAGTTTTCTCATGAAATGAAAATATTATGCTAAGCAATTCCCAAGTTTCCAGCTAGTCCTAGAGTTCTGTATTTCTACATAATTGAATTATTTCATCATGCTGTTGATGGGGAGTATGACTAATACTATTGAAGCTACTAATTTTATGTTGAGTTTTAAAGTCCATAATTGTTATCTTTGGAAAATATTATTTGACCTACAGTATGTCCAAATCAATTCAGTAAAATCACTTTATAACAGGGAAAAATGGTAGTTGTATATATGAATACATATATTTTTATATAGAACTGATTTTTTTATTGTTGTCAGGTGTCTTTGTGCCATGGACCAGCCTGAGATATAAACTAAAGGTTTTCTCATGTCTTTTCCAAGCCTTTATCTTTCCCTTGGCATGTATGGTGACTTTCTAAATTTCCCATGTATGTGGTTACTTTTGAATGTCCTTGTACTTAAATATGTGGTTCCCCAATGTGGGAAAAAGGTAAAATGTGAGCGTGAGAGGATAGAGGGAAGTCCGGCCCTGTCCCTTAAATCCCCCGGCAGCTGCTTCAGCCAGTGGGGCAACAAGGGCAGGCTGCTTTTGTATCTGCACCTCCATGCCCCCAAGAATACTCCTCCGCCAGAACCCAGATCTACAACTGAACAGCAAGGCTCTTGTCACCTGCGCCTGCGAGCTACCTAAGGACTGTCAGGACAGCTGCTTGCCCTGGGGCTGGGGGCTGGGGGCTGGGGCACGGTGGCTGCCAGTAACTGAAATTACCTGTAATTTATCAACCAGGCTTTCCCCTAGAAGCTGCCAGCCTTCAGGTAGATTCTACAGTTTCAGAATTATTGGAGCAGCCAGATTCTGCCAGTTCAATTGTTGTCTAGGTGGGGAAACAGAATCCTGGAGCTTCCTACTCTGCCATCTTCCTTCATATCTACTTTTTCCTCTCTTAACTCACATTTATTTTACAAGTTTTGGCATTTTCCTTCTTCTTTCTCAAGTAATGTTGAAGATGAAGATTTGGATAGAAGTCTCACAGTTAGCTGGGTGGGGGATGGTCTAAGTGGGTGATGGGTGGGCACTTGTTATGATGAGCACTGGGTGTTATATGTAAGTGAAGAATCACGAAATTCTACTCCTGAAACCAATATCACACTATATGTTAACTGACTAGAATTTAAATAAAAATTTCAATAAACAAACAAACAAAAAAAGAAGTCTCACAGTTATGAAGTTATTTCTTATCATTTGGGGAAGTAATTTAGATAGTTTGCTTACTATCCACCTAACATTGTCTTTAGTTATCCAGAAGGCTATGGTATTTACTATTTAAACGTAAGTTTTATCATTCTGTAAGTATTCTTATTTTCTACTTAGAAAGTATTTTTTTAAGTGAAAGTAGTTTTTAAAGATCTTTTCCTTTGTAATATTGATATGTTTAAATTCATGTGCAGAAACCTTTTAAAATTGCAAGTTTCTTATTAGATATGATCTTTAAGAGGAAAAAGACTAACCTACTCAATCTTATTGCAAGGACTGACAGAAAATGGAAGACTTAATTTTTAGTTTTATTATGAAAACTTTAAGCATATATATATGTATATATATATGATGTGCATATTTGAAACATTTTGGGTTGTCACAGCTTGAGGAAGGGTGCGAGTGGTGGACAGGGTAGATGGTAATACACAGGGCAGCCATACAGCAAAGAATTGTCTGTCCTCAAATGTAAGCTGAGGTTGAAAAATCCTGACCTCTATACAGGACTTAAAATATCTTTACATATTTTCTTTAAAGTATCTTTATATTTTTATAACATTGAGTCATTCTATCCAAGAATAGGAGACGCTGTTCCATTGTTCAGGTGTACTTTAATATCATTCAAGTCTGTTTTAAATTTTTCCTCAAGTTTTTTTATGTTTCTTGTAAATTCATTCCTCCAATTCTTTGCTAGTGTCAATGAAGGTTATTGACTTTAGCATGTTAATTTCATATCCTGCTACATCACTGATCAAGTTTTATCATTGATTTTCTGGAGTTATGTAGACAGGGTATTATAACACCAGCAAATAGAGGTAGTTTTATTTCCTCATTTCCTCTTTACTCATCCTTGTGCATCTAAATGGTTTTTCTTATGTAACTGAATTGATTAAGACATCTAGTAGAATGTTGAATAGAAGTGAAAATAATGGGCATCCTTGTCTTGTTCTTTTTTTTTTTAAGATTTTATTTTTAATTAATCTCAACGTGGTGCTCAAACTCAAAAACCCAAGATCAAGAGTCACGCTCTACCTACTGAGCCAGCCAGGCACCCCTTGTTCTTGATCATAGTGGAAATGCCTCTAGTCTTTCTTCATTAAATAGGATACTGGTTTTAGGACTAAACTTTATGTATTTTAGCATATTGAGCAAGTATCCCTCAATTCCTATTTTCTTGAATGTTTTTACTATTAGTGGTGCTGAATTTTTTTGAAGGTTTTCTCATTGTCTCTAAATATACTCATAATTTTCCCCCTTAGGTACGTACATTATAATATACCTTAGTAAGTGGTATAATAAGGGGAATGGATTGTTGGAGCTGGATTCACGAAAGGGTACACAGAGCAATTAACACTGGAACTGAGTCTGAAGGCTACAGAGAAGTTTGGTGTGTAGAAAAAGGAGGAATGATATTCAACATTAGAAATAATTACATAAATGAGAAGAATGTCATATAAATAATGTGTAAGTCTGTCATAGGCTTTGGATACCAGACTGCACTTAATTCATACCCTCCCAGTCCTGTCTCCCTGTTCATTCTCCTGGTCACTCATACACTTTCGCCTTCCTTAAATTAGCTTCCTTTATTCTTTCAGTCACGCTGTCCTTCTGCCCTCTTCCATTTATTGTTTTCTTTGTGTTACTTTCCTATTTATTCCTCTTGCTAGTATCTATTAGAAAGTAAGCCCTTATTTAAATATCATTAATATTTATTCTTTCTACACATTAAGTCTCAGCCAATCATGTGAATCATTAGTGATTTTTTGTTTTCCAGGATGTAAGAGCAGTCCTAAAACTACAAAGTCAACTCAAACCCAAGATTCATCATTTCAGGGGCTAAGAAGGAAAAGACTCAAAAGGGATGAACCCTGGAATTTCATATCAGAAAAACCCTGCATATATGAAGAAAGATTAAAGAAACAAAAGGACAAAAAAGAAAGTTTACAAATAATTTCAATCACCCATACAAAAATCCTCACTGTAGAAAGAAACCATAAAAATATTGACTTTGGCCAAAATTTCAGCCTGAAATCAGTCTTTGTTAAGCAACAGAGGGTTGCTAGAGAAAAAACACCCTCAAAATATGAAATACAAAGAAATAGTTTCAAGCAGAATTCAAACTTACTTAACCAACCAAAAATCAAAACAGCAGAGAAGCGGTATAAATGTAGCATTTGTGAAAAAGCCTTCATTCACAATTCTTCCCTTCGTAAACATCAGAAAAACCACACCGGAGAGAAATTATTTAAATGTAGAGAATGTTTGAAAGCTTTCAGCCAAAGTTCAGCTCTCATTCAGCATCAAAGAACTCATACTGGAGAGAAACCCTACATCTGTAAAGAATGTGGAAAAGCTTTCAGTCATAGTGCATCCCTTTGTAAACACCTAAGAACCCACACTGTGGAGAAATCCTATAGATGTAAAGAATGTGGTAAATCCTTCAGCAGAAGGTCTGGCCTTTTTATACATCAAAAAATCCACGCTGGAGAAAATCCCCATAGATACAATCCAGGTAGGAAGGCATCCAGCACATCCCTTCCCGGATGTCAGAGAATTCATCTCAGAAAGAAGTCCTATTTATGTAATGAATGTGGCAACACCTTTAAGTCTAGCTCATCCCTTCGTTATCATCAGAGGATTCACACGGGAGAGAAACCTTTCAAGTGCAGTGAATGTGGGAGAGCCTTCAGTCAGAGTGCATCTCTTATCCAGCACGAAAGAATTCACACTGGAGAAAAGCCCTATCGATGTAACGAATGTGGAAAAGGTTTCACTTCTATTTCACGACTTAATAGACACCGGATAATACATACCGGTGAGAAACTGTATAACTGTAATGAATGTGGCAAAGCCTTAAGTTCTCACTCGACGCTTATCATTCATGAAAGAATTCACACTGGAGAGAAACCGTGTAAATGTAAAGTGTGTGGGAAAGCCTTCCGACAGAGTTCAGCTCTCATTCAACATCAGAGGATGCATACCGGGGAAAGACCCTATAAATGCAACGAGTGCGGGAAAACATTCAGGTGTAACTCATCCCTTAGTAATCATCAGAGAATTCACACAGGAGAGAAACCCTATCGATGTCTGGAATGTGGGATATCTTTTGGCCAAAGTGCAGCTCTTATTCAGCATCAAAGGATTCATACAGGAGAAAAACCCTTTGAATGTAACACATGTGGGAAAACTTTTAGACAGAGCTCATCACTTATTGCCCATCAGAGAATTCATACTGGAGAGAAACCATATGAATGTAATGCATGTGGGAAACTATTCAGCCAGAGGTCATCCCTTACTAATCATTATAAAATCCACACTGAAGAGGATTCCTTGAAAGCAGATTTGCATGTGTGAAAGCCTTAAACCAAAGCTCAGCAGAGTATACATACTTGAGATTGATTTAATAAATGTCATGAACATGAGAAAACTTTTCAATTTTAATTTTGTTTCATCAGATATTAAATTCTAAGGATAAAAAGCTCTGACTATGTGATAAATATGTGGAAAACTTTCATACCTGTCAGTCACTTTTTAAAATATCCTAAGACAAGGAAATCACAATTGTAATTTGATTGCAAAACCACAATTTTGACCATTTGTAAGATAAAAGGTGGGGTTTTTCTATCTCTTTATACAGCATTATACACTATATGTAATATGTAAACATGAGAAAAATCTAGGTGTAGGAGTGCTGGATTTCTCATTAGAAAGACACCAACTGTATAAGCCAGCAGCATATTTATTAGAACTAACATTTTAATAGCAAACAGAACTGATCTTAAAATATATGCATATGTAGACCAAATAATAGATTAAAAAAAAAAAACCTGCAAACTACCTCAGTCTCTGGAATTTGCCTTTTCCTAAATTGTTGTCAAGCTTTGTGCATGGTTTTCATTAAAAAAGAGAAAGAAAAAAATGTGTTCTCTTACTCCTTTATTCTTCTAGTCATTTCCAAACTACATCTAACAGTCTCCCAAAATTTTTTTGCACAATTTCTAATTTTGTTCTCAAAATTACTTTTCTTTGTTGCCTTCAAGTTATTTATTATTGAGCTGTACTTGCTGTATTCTGAACAGCATGTTAATTTAAGTAGAAAAAAATACAGTTTTTTGGCAGTCACTTCAAGGTTAAAGCTATTAATATTTTTTTTAGTTGGCTGCAAAAGAAATCCTAAGAAATAATTTAAAGAACATGTCACTGTGGCAAAGTCTTGAAAAGAAATCCATTTCATGAAATAAAAGCATGTTTTCCCTACTTGAGGTTTTCAAATTTTTTAAAAAAAAATTCAGACTGCAAAAGGAAATAAAGGAAATAATTCTAAACCTTAGAAATGGTTTACTCAGTAAATGTTTGCTTAATCCTAGGGTTGAGCCAGGTACTATCCCGGACACTGGAAATTGTACAGAAGAAACAGGTCCTAATTTTCAAGAAGTCAGGAATTGAGAGGATGGGGTTGAAGGGAATAGAGAGTAATTAAGCAAATTATCCTAATGTGTTGAAGTTTTCACAGAGAAAGAGATGTTACAATGATACTGTGTTACAAAACATCTTGTAGAGATTTGCACAGGATTCAGAAAGAAGGGAATGGAGCCTAACCAAGGCAGCTTGACCAGATACAGTGTCCCAGAGACAGGGATGCCTGAGCCCGACGCTGGAAGAACAGGAATGCTCCAGAGAGTGAGATAAATACTTAAAAGAGAGGGAGCCACAGAGGTAAAGGTACATGTGGGTGACAGCATGGCGCATTTGTAGAACATCTATTAAGAACATCTATTAAGTAATGAGAACGACAGATGTTGCAGCTTGAGAAGGAGGCAGAGACCCGATAACCAAAGGTCTTAACTGCCATTCTAAGGAGCTGGAATTGATTCTGAAATTATGGCACTGATGAAAGATGCTCTGTAAGGGAAATTGCTCTGACAATAATGTATGGAGAATGAGTTTAGGAGGTTGAGGACAATGAGCAGCTGGAGCCCACAAGTATGGGCTGTTACAGTAACTTGAATGATTGGTGAACGAGGCTCTAAACTCAGGCAGGGGCAGTGGAAGCGGAGAATATGTGACCGGTACTAATGCGGTAAAATGTGGCATGGTTTTTACAATCACATAATTGGAAGAGGTGAGTTAAGAAGGAATGTAGGTTGACTCCCAGGCTTCTTCCTGGTTAACTGGAAGAATGTAATGTATGAAATCAGTCTTTGATTGTGAAAAATCACCATGATGATGATGATGGTGCCATTGCTAAGCAGGAAATACAGGAGTGAACAAGTGTGATTTGGCACATGTTAAGTTGATCGTTCGGGTCCAAAAGGGAATTATGAGTCAGTAGACTAGAATTAGGAGTAATTACAATAGAGTTGGTAGTCAAAACCATAGTACATGAAATTGGTCAGCAGAGTACAGATTAGAATGAGAAACAAAGGGGTCACAGATAAAACTCAGGAAAACATCACTATATAAGGAGTTGGTGAAAGAGGAGGAAAAGGAATGGCTCTACAGCCAGAAGAGTGATGCCACTGAGCCCAAGGAGAAATGAATGTCAGATGGTCAGTAGCGTTAGGTGCCTCGAATCAAGCGAGAAGGAGTAAGCTGGAATAGTAACCAGGAGAGTACTGGAGACAACTTCAGTGATTTACGGTGAGTGGAAGCCAGATTGTTCTAGGTTGGATTATTACGAGGAAGGTGAGAACTAGTGGGCTGTTTTGGACATGTTTCAAGAAGCTTAAAGGAAGAGAAGAAAAGAGGGCCGTATTTAGAGGGGAGAAAATGATTTCTATGTTAATGGGACAACTATACACGTGCTGAGGGTGAGTTAAAGAAGAGATCATTAGGTGAGACAAATTTTCTGCGATGTTCTAAGGGAATTAGGGTTAGAGCATGCGTGAAGAAATTAACTTTACCTTAGGCTGGAGGGAAAAGCCTACAGAAAGATGGGAATGCAGATTAAGTTTCTGTTTGATTTGGAGGTGAAGAAATTTCCTCCTGCTGACCTTCTGTAAAGCAGGAGAAAGATGTCATTTTTTAGAGATGTTAATTATAGTAGCAATTTTGGGGTCTTTGGGTGCCTAAAATATGTTAATGAGTTTCGATCTGTGATTTGCAGATGTTTTTAGAAAGTCGTGGCTCTGAGTTCATTCTATATTCTTGTGTCAAAAGCTCCACTTTTATCACTTTTATATGTCTGGCACCTGTGTTACTTTTTTTTTAAGAAAAAATTTGCTTGTGAATTAGAGTTTAGAAACTGCTTAGGAAAGGGCGGGGGGTGGTGCCTGGATGGCTCAGTCGGTTAAGCGTCTGCCTTCAGCTCAGGTCATGATCCTGGGGTCCTGGGATCGAGCCCTGAGTTGGGCTCCCTACTCAGTGGGGAGCTTGCTTCTCCCTCTCCTCCCCGCTTGTGCTCTCACTCTCTGTCTAATAAATAAAATCTTAAAAAACAAAAAAACTACTTAGGAAGGGGAAGAAAGAATGCTTTAAGAGTGATAAGCCTGAAGAGAGACTGGAAAAAAATGTTCAACAGGTGTGTGGAGGTAGATGGAAAGGCATTCATATCAGAGGCATCAGAAGAAAGTTTGTGCAATGATGAGGAATCATGAGAGGACACGATGTGCTCACTGTACTACTGCAGAAATTATTTTTTAAACTTCATTTTCCAATTATTTGTTACTAGTACATAGAAATACAATTGATTTTTATATATTGACCTTATATCCAGTAACCTTGATAAATTCACTTTTCTCCGATAGCTTACTTGTGTATTCTTTTGGATTTTCTGCATATCATCATCTGTAAATAATGGCTAACTTATTTTTTCTTTTCTACTTGTAATACCTTTTAAATTCTTTTCTTACATTATAGTACTATATGGCACAAGCCAGTGCAATGTTGAATACAAATACTAACATTCAGTATTTTACCATTTAATGTGTTACTTTTAATTTGTGGTTATCTGTTATCAGAATAAGGACATTCCCTTGAATTCCTAGTGTGCTGTGAGTTTTTTTTTTAAATCACAAATGGTAGTATTGGGGGCGCCTGGGTGGCTCAGTCGTTAAGCGTCTGCCTTCGGCTCAGGTCATGATCCCAGGGTGCTGGGATCGAGCCCCACATCGGGCTCCCTGCTCCGTGGGGAGCCTGCTTCTCCCCCTCCCACTCCCCCTGCTTGTGTTCCCTCTCTTGCTGTCTCTCTCACTGTCAGATAAATAAATAAATATATCTTTTTTTTAAAAAGGTAGTATTTTGTCATATTCATTTTCTGCATTGGATCAAAATGACCATATTATTTTCTCTTCATACTTTATTTTTTAAAGATTTTATTTATTTATTTGACAGACAGAGAGAGACATCGAGAGAAGGAACACAAGCAGGGGGAATGGAAGAGGGGGAAGCAGGCTTCCCGCGGAGCAGGGAGCCCGATGTGGGGCTCGATCCCAGGACCCTGGGATCATGACTTGAGCCGAAGGCAGACTCTTAACGACTGAGCCACCCAGGCGCCCCTTCTCTTCATACTTTAATAGAGAAGTACATTGATTGAATTTTTATGTTAACCAATGTCACATTCCTGAAATAAATCCTACTTGGTCATAATATATCATCATATATGTGTATGTGTGTGTAAGATCAGGTTTCTTCCTTAATAAATAGAAGTCTGAAGAATTGACCAAGACTGTATTCTAAGAATTCAGAGCAGAATTGTTATCATTCAGATCTGAAGAATGGATGGAGTCATAATACCTGGAGAGGAAAGAAAAGGCAAGGACAAGTGTCCTATAGGAGCAAAAGACTCAGAGGGAGAGTGAATACAGCATCTGTAGGGACCAGCAGGGAAACTAGCCTTGCTGGTGTAGAGGGCTCCTGATAGGATAAAACAAAAAGTAATACTGGAAATGAAAGCTAGAATTAGGTTATCAGAGACCCTGAGTGCTGTCTGAAACTGTAAGAGCTGGGCTATGATCCTGTAGATGTTAAGTCACTATTTATATCTGAGGAGCAAATGGTCAATTTGAAGACCATGTTGTCTGATGGGACTGAAGGATGATTTGGTAATTTCTGGCTTGTGAAACTGGCTGAAAGACAGGTTCTCGGGAGTAGGCGTTGGGAGAGTCTGTGAAAAATGTTCTCAGTGCGCAGCACAAAGAGAGCAGAGGGTAGCTCCATTCTTGGTCCCTGACAACTGTCCTGGTCTTACGTCAAATGCCACAGATGACAAAATGCTCAAAGCTGACCTTGGGACATTTTTCAAAGTCAAGGTGCAGTTATACTTTCAAAATCAGAAGATACAATCCAGTTAGTATTGTAGGCCAGTATGTTTCAGGTTATAAATCAAGTGTGTCAGGAATACATTTTCCAAGAGCTATAAGAAAAAGTTTTTCATTTTGACAGATAACTTCCTATTGGAAGACTGGACGAAGGGTCAAGAGACCTGCATATTTGTCTGCCCCCATTCTGCTTCAAGTTATATAGTCTCTGGCCTTTTCAACTCTACAAATTCCACTGTGTTGTTTCATCTACTGCATCTACTTTCTTTATGGTTCCTAATGGTGTAGATCAACTCAAAATTTTATATTTCTATCTTATGCATTTTTGTGTAGAAATGTTGAGATGAGCACAAAAAGAACTACAAAGAAATCCTATTTTCATCAATCAAATTGTTAGTAATACTATTAGCACATATTGTTGGATAAAATAATTAAATTATACATTATGAACTAAAAATTTCAACCTAAAAATGAATTGTTGTAGGAAGATGGAGTAGACAGATATAATTTTCCCTATTTTCCCCACTAAGTACACCTAAAAACTCATAAAAAGACTGAGAAGTGGAGAGAAGATAGGTCAGGTAGTTCGCGAACCTCAGGAAAAGAGGAATGATGTGATCGTGGGGTTTTTTGCCTCATATGCCCCAGACTTGGA